ACAAAGTTTTAAATAGTCAATGAAAGTAATTCCATAAGGAACCGCAAAAAATGGCAAACATCTTAAACCAATGTGCAACAAAAATCCAACTATAAGCCAATTGGACTCAGTTGTGTAATGATGTATCTGTGTTACATCTATTGTCACAAGTTAAGGCAGAAATTCGTTCTTATTGTACTAGCTGTTCCTTACAAAATCGAAAATCGAAGTTAACTGCCTTACTTAACTTCAATTTACAATTTCACAACACAATTTCATGAATTTCCGCGATATTCTCTGACGTTACTGCTTCTGATGCCCCTAATAAAGGAGGACAGCGTTTCAATAAAGAACTAGATTAACTATTTCTGCTAATTAAACAGCAGACATTCATATACATATGTAACCTGGTCTACGGAAAGGGGGCTTAGGTGTCAAAAAATCCAAAAAATCTATTTTCACTTTTTAGTTGATTCGGATGGAAGATGAGATTTTTAACAACTGTTTCCCAGAAAACTAGTTTTCGCACGTTAGCTCCCTTTTCGTAGGCCAGGTCACATATACTTATATGACTGATTATTCGTAGAAAAATTAAATATTTGAATCTAAATATTGATTCCATACCAACAGTTCTTAAAATATACATGTACATATATCTATGTGTGCATATATGTATATGTGTATGTGTGTGTATATAACTTTTATACGCTGACCCACTGCATATATATTCTCATATAAATTTTAAATAGGTATGTATTCATTTCACAAAAATAAAATACATAAATTGTATTTAGATAAGTGCATATCGACATATAAGATGGCTGCCGCTATAGTGTATAAAATTGTTATTGTGTATATATATTTATATACATACATATGTACACCGGTCTTAAACAAACTGAAACACCTGTACATAACTGTAATGTGAACGACTTACTCTGAGCTACGCTTCCCAAATCGTCACTTCCCAAAATCATGAAAATACTAGACTTCTCATTTCAAGAACAGTATTGAAAGTGACAAGAACTAAAACCGCCAACAGACGAGTGTAGAAAGTGTGAAGAATGACTTCGCAAGCGCAACTTCAAATTGTAACCAAGCGGAAGCCTCATCTTAACAGTAAAATAGGACCAACACTTCACTGCCACCTTGCACTAGTCTTCATCGCACTGTGGACTGTCACGTGTCATGCTGAGTACTTCTCATCAATCGACAGCATACCAGTGCTGGCAATCGCAGAGGAAGATTTAAT